CACAGTCAATTGGATTGGTGTGTCAAAAATTGGTATCCAGCGATCCTATTCGTCGTTGGGAATTGGTATCCAGGCATTTGATTGGCTGTTGCCAGCGGTTGCCGGACGGTTGCCATACCAAGGCGCTTCCCATTGGCCGATATCTGCCACGATGGCAAATAACTACCGTCCATCGTCCGGAAATCGGGCATCTCATCCCGGAAAAACTCCGGGCGAATGGCGCCGGAATCCCAGATTATCTGCCACCTCGCCCGAGTCCTGGCCACATGCTTCGGGACGACCTTGGCCATGCGCTTGACGATGCGCAGAGCCGTGCGGTTGACGACCTTGTTGGCGGTGTCCGAGAACCCCATAACGAGCGCCTGGACAACGTCCACCGAGACAAGCGCCGCGTCGACCTTGGCTCGCGTTGAATATCTAGATGAATTATGTTGGAATAAAACAGCAATTGTTGGCGAGTTTCAAAACAAATACTTGCAGGCCTTTGATTGCCACGATCGTCGGCACACGGCCTCTCTCGAGCAAGAGAAAGCGTCCCTGAAAATATCTCAGCGATTTGAGAAGGTTGCAAAAGTTTCGATTTCGGGTCGACAAGCCTCACGCCTGCCGTAGCGGTTCATGGCCAAAATATAAGAAATATTGCAAAGTGCTGGGATCATTTTCAACGGCCCACAACAAGTCGCTAGTGATGGACAGAGGTTCAACGTGCTGATTTGCGGCATCTATAAGCACTTGGTGATTTTGCAATGAATTGATTTGAATAAAATCGCATTTTCGAAACCACGCTCTATCCGCGGAGCCGCAACGCTGGGATCATTTCAGTTGCCAAGGGCACGTCTGCCTAGAATCTGCGTCTACGTACAGCAACCGGTCTTCCAAGCACATGCTCCTGGCTACGACAAGAGCATGAAGTGACTTAACCGAGCCGCGTTCAGGCCCAGCATCCGGTGGGATTGGTAGGATGAGCGGCCCCGTACATCAATCCGTTTCAGATTGTGCAGTGTAGCATATCACCTTGGCCGCTACATGCTTCAATGCACGATACCGATGGCCAAGATTTGATGCAGGCAACGCCGTTAAAACCCTTACTTGTGCATATGCCATAAACAACCATCTATAGCAACGCCGTCACGCCTTATTTATGGCATATGCCATAATTTGAGCGCCACGACCTGGCCGCGACGAGAGTTGGGGAGCATTTCATGATCGAAAACAAAAGTGCTCACACTTGGCACCGTGCTAAATGACACTTTGGGGAGTACGAAACGTTATGTTTCGTCACAGTTTGAGCTCCGTAGCAAGAGTTATTGACGATATACTTAATGCACTATTTGAAATCAAGTTTACTCGGTATAGTGTACGTACATAATTAGTGTATTATATAATAAAAGGCGCTGTAGCGCGCTCCAGAGCTCCCATCGTCCATGTACCATGCTCTCCGTCACTTTTCAAGAGATATAGCGTCCTCGGATTCGGCGAAAACTCTGCATTTTCACCTAATTTTGTGTGTCAAAGTTGGCAAAAATCGACGCTCGGCAGTACGACGTTGCTGTGAGAGCCCAAGCGCCTACCACGTCCCAAACGCAAGTCGCTGGGCCACTCCATATACATAGCCAACTGTGGCCGCCCGCGTCGGAGTCGGTCGAGTTTTCGAACGGCGCGAGAACACGTTGTGCATTTGGGTGTTTATTTGGCCACCTCGAAAAATCAACGTTGGAATTCGCATGCATGCGCCCCGTTCGGCATCCAAACCACTATCTCCATGGTACCAAGATGCTATAGAACGACAGGAACTGGTGTGGCCCCGTGTTAACGCGTCTGTGTGGCGTCGTTCGTGGTAGAGGATATGGTTTCCACACTATTTAAAACTATTGGTCTGATATACTGTTATGCATTCGGTCTTTAAGTATCGAACTATCAACTCAGCCTTATACCGGCAGCAATGGTTCGTTGCCGGTTGCCAGCTCGTGCGCGGCAAGCTCGTCGACGAGTCGGTCCGGCACTACAATGGCCGACGGTCGCAATTCGGACGGCGTCAACTGCGTAAAGACGTCGGTGACCCAACGGATAAGCGGCGTGACGGCATGCTTGTCGACGTGTGGCGCAAGGAGCACGTTGGCGATGGCGTGGAAAAGCCGCGTTAAGCGTTAAGCGTCCAGACCACGGTCGTCTGCATCGCAAGGTCACGTTGGTGCGACAGCGGCAACGAGGTGGACTTGCGGCGCCGTCGGCTGCGCGAGCGCGACGACTTCGCGGAGCCCGCCAGCGAGCAATCAGCTGCCGACTACCGGTGCGCCTGCAGGAGAGGGATACCGAGGGGTGTGATGCGGCGAGGCCGGGGCCGTGTACGTTGCTTGCGCGAGGAGGCGGCACGACTGCAGCGATCCGGTCGCGAGGTCGCAAAGGACGTCGAGGACGGGAAAAGAAGCGTCGCCGACGTCGAGGTCTTGGGATAGTCGTAGTACGCGTCGTTAAAGCCCGCGAAAGACTCGAGAAGCGGCGTCGCGACGAGGCGCAAGAGGTATTGGAGCGTCGCCGGGCGCTGCCAGAACAGAAGACTTCGGCGGGAAGTCGATGATCGCCGTGTCGCGCCGACGCCGCACGACACCTAGCACATCCATGGGCCGCGCCTGGAGCTTGAGCTGTGAAAGTCCAGCCACGCGCCGTGTCGGTCGGCAGCTCAGCCAGCGCTGGAGCCTCCTTGACGACCTCTCGAGGTTGAGCTGGCGCTAGCGTCGTGCTACCCAGCGTCGCGCGCGGTCGCATGGCCGGCGCCGTGACGTCGAGCTGCTGGAGGAGGGTCGCGGCCTGTGGGTAGTCGACGGCGAGGGCCGCAGGCTGTCTGCGAGCTTGGACCGGAGCGCCTGCGGGAGCGCCGCCGGTCAGAGCCTACGGCTGACCTCGGTCTCGATCGAGTGGAGGGCGCGGACGCGCATCTCCTTGATCGCTTGCGCAGGTGACCGCTTCTATGGTCTTTAACGTAAAATCCACGCGTTATAGTGGGGAGGGGGTCCATTTCAACTCGATCGGTCCCCTCCAAAGAAAAATACTCCTATCGTTTCGTTGCCGTTTCGGTGGCACCCCCTACTATACCGTGCACGACCCGGTCCATCGACGAGAGGAGCTCGATTAAGTGCGTGTCGGTTGATCCGCACTTTAAACGTGTACTTGGTCCGAGTCAAGTTTAGATTCGCATGCTCTGGCGGCTCTACGTGGGGCGGCTGACCGAGGGTATGACCAAGGCCGAGCTCGTCTCGCGCTTCGAGCGCCTCCTCGCCAACAACGCCGATCTGCGCATCGACGACGTCCAGCTCATGGCCAACTCGGCGGCCAAGGACTTGCCTACCTGCAGATCGCATCGGCGTCCGGCGACGTGGCCGCCGAGACGTCGACCATCGACGCCTTTGTCATGGCGTACCACAGAACCAAGTAGAAGGGCAAGCGGCTGCGCGTCGAGTCGGCCAAGTCCGACTTTATGCAGCGGCTGCAGGCGGTGTGGACCGACGACGAGGTCGCCGAGCGTGAGCGCGCCTTTGCACCTGCTCAAGGCGACGAAGCGCCAACAAAGGAGCTCAAAACGTCCTAGCGGTACGAGAGCTAGCGCATGTCCTCGTGGCGTCAAAGACTCTCATGGCGGCGACGGTCGTGGTCGAGGCCCCGCAGTCGGACAAGGAAGACGCCGACGAGAACGACGGTCACTTGAGCTCCGAGACGTCAGAAGACGAAGAAGATGAGCAAGACGACGTGGCGCTCGATGACGACGAAGACGAGGCGTCGCCGGCCGATGACATTGACATGGAAGCGGCGACCGAGCGGGAGCTGGAGCTCGCCTGCGCCCAGGCGCCAGCAGCCTCCAGCAGCAGCAGCGAGACCGACAGCGAAGACAACGACGAAGATGTCGATATGGAGGCCGAGATCGTCAAGGAGCTCGAGGCCGCGACCGTCGAAATGACGCCTGCTGCGCCTGTCGTGGCCGAAGCCGCGCGCAAGGAAGCTGCGAACGCCCGTCGCCTTGCGGGTATTAAGGAGCGCGAGGCGCAGATGGCCGCGATGAAGAAGCAGCCGACGCCGATCGCTACGACCAACAAGACGATCACGTTCGGCGACGACTCGGACGACTCGAGACCACGTCGACGCCGGCACCGTCCAAGAAGCGCGCGCTCCTTAGCGACTCGGACGACAACGACGATGACGACAAGGGCGACGATGATTTCCTTGGGCTCAAGCGGCGCAAGGCGGAAGCGCTCTTCGAGTTCCGACCCGAGTTTGCCGGCGCGGACGGCAAGCGGCTCTTCCATGTGCAAAAACGGTTTGGCGGCGACGAGCCTTTTCACCTCGCCGCGCGCTTCGTCGAAGGCGACGAGTTCAACGACGGCGTTGACGACGCTACGCACGACGTCAATGAACAACGCGATCCAGACGTGGGCCACCGCCGCGCCGGACGCCGACGAGGTCGCCAAGCAGGCATACATCACGGAGACCGAGCTCTCGCTCGTCTTCCCCCAACATGGAGCTGGAGCGAGCGAAGGCGCGCTTGCACCGGTCGGTCTCGGACGCCAAGGACTTCAAGCAGCTCGGCTGGCTCGCAGCCGTGCGTCGGTACGACCCGCTCGACGCTGGCGTGAAAGCCTTTGAGCAGACGGCTCCGACCGACGCCGAGATCGCCAAGGACAACGACGACGACGACGACGGCGAGCCGTTGCCGCCGATGCCAGTCCGTAAGGAGACGCCGATGCCCGAGGTGTCGGAGGAGCGGTACTTTGCCGCGACGTCGGACCTCTCGACCATGTTCTCGCGCGTCCGCGCCAACTCGGAGGACGGCGAGGAGATGGAAGCCGCGCTCGATGGTATCGTCAAGCCGGCCGCGGCCGCGTCGAGTGGCTTTAGCTTTGCGTCCATGTTTGGCGGCGGCGACGTCATCGAGGACGATGTCGACGACCACGTCGACGCCAAGCCGCTCGAGGAGAAGCCGGACCTGGACGACTCGACGTGGCACTTTGCCAACACAGTGCGCAAGGTCGTCCAGGACGACAGCACGGACGACGAAGCCATGGAAGACGACGACGACGACGTCGAGTGCCGACGTGCTAGCGTTTGTCGCGAGGTTTTGCAAGCCGGCCAGACGCACGTGGCCGACTGGATGAGTCTGCGCAAGACGTTGGCAAGCCGGACCCGTGGACCAAGACGCACGAGGCCGACTGGATGACGCTGCGCAAGACATAGGGATAGGTGTAGAACGATGTGTAAATTATCGGCTCTCGATGCACCGTGTGTTGTTTCAGAACTACTTGATGATATCGAAAGACGTAGTATAGTCATCTCGGTCGCCACCACACGTACAAATCTTCGTCGGAGGCGGCGGAGCAGCGGTCGAGTCTACCTGGTACTATCGAAGTCGTATGATACTAGTATACGACTTCAATAGTACCAGGTAGACGCGACCAGCGTCCGATTCGCTGACCATCATAAGCTTACATGGTCTTGGCATTAAACGTCGTCGGCTTGCGGGGTTTGTTGCCCTTGCAAATCGGCTGGTTCTAGCACTGGATCTTCTTGGCCGCAGGCTTGACAGCGGGCTTGGCTACCGTCTTTTGCTGCTTCTTGACGGGCTTGGCATCCACGAGGGGCTTCTCTTCCTCTTTCGAAGCTTCAGCCGCCTCTTCTTACTCGGCGTCGTCCTCACTGGCCTCGTCGACGGCATCGGCCGCCTTCTTGTTGGCCTTCTCGAGCTGGCGCTTCTGGCGCTTGGAGAGCACCTTGGACTCGTTGCCCGAGTCAGATTCGTCTGTGTTGCTGTCGTCATCGGAGCTGTCGTCGGGCTTGACCACGTCAAAGGCGTCCATGTTGTGCATGTGCCGGTCGAAGCGGCGCGTGAGCGTCATGCTCTGAAGCGCTGCTACTGGTAGCGGGTAGAGCCGGGCTTGCCGTGGTCGAGGCCGCAGTCGACGAGTGAGGGGACTGGAGCAAGGGCAACTACACCTTAAACTACATCAGAGATTACCCTCGGCAACTGTGTAGCTTATAGCATGTAAATTCAACCCGACGGAATGCGGAGCGTAGAGGTGGGCTGGACCTCGCACTTGATGCAATTGTCGATCGTGTCGGCGGAAAAGAGCGAGCTTGAGAACGGCGACAACTGCGACTCTGTAAACTTGTCAAAGCGCACAGCCGACTGCGGGATGAGGCGACGCTGCATCATCTCGAAGCGACCGTGCAGCCGGCGCTCGAGCGGTCGCTGGCCACGTGGTCCAACTTGTACTGGCTGTGCAGCCAGACGCAGGCAACCTCGAGTGTGCTCGTGCTGCAGCTGTTTGCCTCGTCGATCTTGGATGAGATTGTTGTGGACGGGAACCTCGACGCGTCGACGCAGTCGTTCATCGCGGCGGTCGCCGATGCCGCCAAGCTGCTGCCGTTTCTGCAGAACAACGATCTCCACAGCGTTAGTACCTGCTCGGTGACTGCTTGCTGCTCGAACTGACCAGGACAGAGACGGTCTTGGACCGCGCGGTCCGGTCGCTTGTCCGTGTCGTGGATCTTGAAGGCGCGGCGGTCGTCGTCGAGCTCGCGACGTTGCTCAAGGGGCATGTGCCCAAGGGTCTGAGCCGTCATGTGGTGTCGTTTTTGCAAGTGATTCTCGTCGATGACGACGACATGACGCTCGAGTTTGTCTGGTACAACCTCTTTAAGCTCTACGTGGCCGACGGTGTCTACGAGAGTGCCCGCTCCAGAAGCTAGTGCGCCGTCGCTGTACGAGTGCGCCGGTACTGTGTCTTGCAGCTTTGTGGCCGTGTCGACGTGGTCTGTGACGTGCGCTGGGGTGCGTTTGAAGCACAAGTCGAAGAGCTGCTTGTGTGCCAAAGCGCCAACACCCACGCACACGTGTCGCCGGCCATGTCGTCGCAGAGCGCGTCGGCCTTGTACTGTTTCCTCTACAGCTTTGACGTCGCTCACAGTCGGTGTGTGCACGCGGCCCGTGCCATGTACTCGCTCTTCCTCCGCCTCGAGCTCGAGCCCTTCGCACCGTCGATTCTCCAGGTCCAGCGAGACGCACTCCTCGCGGCCTCCAACGTCTTGGAGCTCGTACCCGAAGCACGTCGGTGGTTTGTGTCGCAGGCCAGTCTCGCCTCGGACGCTGGCGACTGCGTGGATTGGTTGAAAAGAAGCCAATGATAAGGGGGAGAAGTGTCAGTTTTCAAATCAACGGCGACGAAAGATGCCAACGAACGACGAGGTAGGTCGTCGACCAAGCGACGTGCGACGATGTGGACGAGCGATGGTGTAGAACATGCTTCTCAGTGCTGCATTACGTGGCAACGTGGCTAACGTCCAAGTCTATCTCGACAAACGCGTCAACGTCAACTGCATGTACAGCGTACGTTAGATCTCTCGGGTTGAAGTGTTGTACATGCATACCTTGAAGTAGAGTGGGTCGACGCCATTGTGCAACGCTGCTTCCAATGGTCATGTGGATGTCGCCCGCCTCTTGCTTGAAAAAGGCGCCAACGTGGACGCGTGCGACAAGGTATGGTTTGCGTATCGACGATAGAGCGTCATGTATCTTGCTTGAATGCAACCATTGGAGTAGAATGGGTCGACGCCATTGTACAACGCTGCTTCCAATGGTCATGTGGACGTCGCCCGCCTCTTGCTCGAGAAAGGCGCCAAGTTGGACGCGTGTTCGCTGGTATGCTTTTGTCTTGATGAAGCGGTGTTAAAGTATCTATTGATGTAGAATGGTGAAACACCACTGCACATGGCCGCTCAAGGCAACAAACCAGAAATGGTCAAATTTCTCTTGGAAAAAGGCGCCAAAATCGACGCCAAAAACAAGGTACGTACTGCCATCATATTGGCGTATGGTGCGGGCATGAAATATGCCTCAAGCCATCGTCAAGGACCGACAATTGTTTTTCTAGAATGGCAAAACGCCGCGTGAGGTAGCAGAAGCACGCGGTTCTAATGATCCCGTCGCAACGCTTTTGCGCGACTATCGCATGCTAAGTCAGGTAGATAGTCGACCAAAATGGCGTGCTTCTCTGCCGCGTCTATACTCACTCTCTGCTATAGCTCTTCGATGCACTGCGCGAGAAGCGCATTGATGACGCCATGTGCATTCTCCAAAACAACTTTTATCACGTCAACCTCCGTGACAGCGTACGCATCTCTTTTCAAACAATGTACCATTGATGATAGATGTGACTCATATGAGTGTAGTCTGAGACGCCGTTGCTGCACGTGGTCGTAGCGACGCAAGATCTGTCGCTGCTTCAAACGTTGCTTCCAAAACCAAACCTCGACATCGATGCCAAAGACTGTGTATATCCATAAATCGTCTTCGTGTACAACATTCTCATATCACTGATGATGAATAGATGGTTCGCACGGCTCTCACAGTCGCCATCACTACGGGCACTGCAGAGTTGGTTCAGGCGCTGTACCAAGCAGGCGCATCCGTCGATCTCGTCGACCTGGTTGGAAATTTACATCATTCTACTGAGAATTGACGATGCGATGCAGAGTCTCCGTGCTTCAACGCCCGTCTTTGCCACCGCTTTGCGCCAAGCAGCCTCCATCAACGACGGCAGCACGGTGGCTCAGCTACTGAGTCTGGGCGTCAGCTCCTTGTTGGCCAACGAGGTACCGTACAATTTTGAGCTATAAATTCAAAAGCATCTTGGTTTGATCTAGAAAGGCGAGACATCGTGGCATGTGGCGGCTGCAAAGGGGTTTATGTCCATCCTCACGATGCTGCTCCAACAAGAGACCAAGGACGAGAACGGCATTGACGTGACCAACCACGTACACTCTACTTCATTTCCATTTTTACGTTAAACTGGTGTAGAATGGAGAATCACCCCTTTTTGTCGCTGCCACCAGTGGCCACGCCGACGTTGTCAAGTGTCTCCTTCGTGCCAACGCCAGCCCCCACATTATTCCCATGTACTGCCGTTAGATGATTCGTATTCAAAAGCATCATTGCAACGCTAGGATGGATCGACACTGCTGCATGCGGCTGCGATTGGCGGGAACATGATTGTCCTTCACCAAATCGTTCAGAGTGGCGTCAACGTCGATGCGTCTGACGCGGTAGACAATATTGCCTGTGATCCAGTCCAACTCCTATCTCGTTTAAACTAGATGGGGCAGACACCGCTCCACATTGCGGCCGAGAAGGCCCACGACAGTGTGGTCAAGTACCTTTTGGACGTCGACGCCAATGTCTTTGCCAAGGACAAGGTATCGCCATCTCAACACACACTAAAGCTCTAGGATGTCGTGATTCCTAGACGGGCAAGACGCCGTTGATGCTCACGACCCACCCACTCGTCATCAACACTCTGCTACAGGCAGAAAAATCGACCAAGCAAAGGGTAGTCTGCATCACCAATCGTTTGCTGCAAGTAAATGGACTTCGTAGGTCCCTCTGCTCTCGGAGGCCATGCTGGACCACATTGTCACGCGTGTCTCTTCCTCGGAGACCATGCTGGACCACATCATAACGCGTGTCTCTTCCTCGGAGACCATGCTGGACCACATCATAACGCGTGTCTCTTCCTCGGAGACGATGCTCGACCAACTCGTTGACCGTATCTGCGCCTCGGAGGCGATGCTAAGCAAACTCGTCCAGCGAATTTGCGACCGCCTCGACGCCGGCCACGAAGCTTTGGAGGTAAATTGCTGCATATGTGACACGTCATTTCCTACAATGTAGGCCTCGGCGGATCGACCTGAGGGCAGTCGAGGCGCGAACGTACAACTTATTTTGGACGATACATGTTTATGCAGACGTATGTGTAATTAGGGGCTTGTTCAAGCTGTCTTCGTCAACGACGCCAGCCAAGAGCTGCTGGCCGACGACAGTGATTCCAACGCCGCGAACGAGGTATATACTTTGACTCGTTTTTTGAGACTCTAAAACGGTGTAGGCGGGCGACTCTCCTCTGCATCTCGCTGTACAAACCAACGACCACAAGACGTTGATGTCGCTTTTGCGATCGCCCAGCATCAACGTCGACGTTCGCAACGCGGTACAAAAACAAAGCGGTCGACGACAATAATGACAATGAAAATATTGTTGTTTAGGCGGACGTAACGCCGGTGATTCTGGCCATCCAAATGGGCCACCGACGCCTGGCGGCGATGCTCCAAACAGCTCCGCACCGCATCATTCCCAGCGTACTCATCACTATCCTTATCGATTTTTCTGTAACATGGGCGGCTCT